GCATAATCTAGGGCAAACTTAATATTTAATCTCAAAAAGTTACTCTGTAATACAAACCACGAAGAGTCGAATTAATGAGAAATGTCATTTACGAATTTGTAGCCAAACTTTGGATTGAACTTCGGTTTGACATTTATGACACCTTAGTAGAGTCTCTGTTGATGTAGATTTATTTATTTTTCAGATAGTGGAAGATCAAAAAATTCAGAATTGTTTTATAGTAAAGCATAAAGAAAGTTTATACTATGGCATTCTTGAAATTGAGAATCAGTGCTAGTATAATTTTGTTGGGTATTATTGTTTGCAACGTGTTTCTACTAGCAAATGAAATATTATCGGTCCTAGCGTCCTTCTGATAATATTACGATTTTACTTGAAATTCTGCTCTTTTCTCGGATATTCAACCGCAGAACATTAATAAAACAAATGACAAGGGGCCTGTTAACACCAGTACTGATAAAAAATCATATTTACGGCTGTATCATAACGACAGTATTTTGTAAAACAGATAAAGAGTGCATAATAATAGTGTAATCAATTGCTTGTTTATATAACAAGTAATACTTCCGGTTAGGTGTTTCCAATATGCAACCGAAACGAATAATTATAAAATTCGGCAGCAAAACAATCCTTTTTTTTTCAAATATTTATCTTTCGGCATATTTCCTATATGTTACCGTATCACGTTTCAAGTTTATAAATACGGATTTTACCGACCTAAGCGTTAAAGTTATAACGTCTGGGTATCAGTCTAGAATGCTAATTGTGCAACAATAACTTTTCTCTGGCTTCATCGCAGAGGAATAAAAATGAAATATATCTCCTGTAGCGCATTGGCAATAGTAGTAATGGTAATACTATATTCACTGTGAAACCCCTGTTATATAATGAATCTATTGAAAATACTTTTTCCATACCTGAGCAAAAATATTCTCCCGACGTGCGTTTCGTTAACCAAACTTGCATCATCAGGAGATGACTACAATTGAATCTTACAACTAGCTTACAGATTTTATATGCATCTTTTCGAACCACCATCTTCAATATTGAGGGGTCATCAAATGAAGATAATCAGATAAGGGTCATTGATGAATTCTTAGTATTGATTATTGTGTTATATTGTTATTGTATTTTTCATTCTATTCATATTTCAATAACTACCTGTCATGATCCTCAATATAATAATAAACAACGGGCTCGTTGGAACAGGAACTTTGTCACTGTCACTGTGTTAGATTTCTAAACTTTGGTAGGCATCTGAAAACCTATTGTCATGTACCGGGCTCGAAAATTTTAAGTATTCATCATTTCTTCTGTGAGTACTCTGGTCTATGAAACCGAATATGTGAAATATGTTCCTTGTAGCTAGTTGCTACAGTCCACTAATTTTGACCAACATAGGTACTTTTTATTACCATCTTCACGGTCACAAACGACTAGTCTTGTACCTGATGACCAATAATCATTACGTTCACTTGAAACAATCCACTCAAAAAATAAAAAATTGTATCTGGCTGCGTTGATGAACTCAAAAGTGGCATATATAGGTTCTGAACCAGTTGTGGATGTGTCAAAATCCTGGATCAAATCCAAAAATGTGTCGAAAAAAAAATAGAGTGTAGCAGAAACGCACACAGTGAAACATTTATGAAGAGATCGCTCTGGAAGAGAAAGGAAGTGCTCCAACAAAGCAGCGATCGGTTAGCGATAGGATATTATCTTTTTTGGCTGAAGACAATGCCCCAAAGGAACAGAGATAGCTTGTGATGTTTAATGCGAATGCAAGGACTTTATGAAATGAGCTGTGAGGATTTCGATACAACTATGTTGGTCAAACTAAGCGGATAAGAATGACTCGCTTCATGGAACATGTTTGACACAGAAGATTTTGAGAACGGCCACAGAATAAGTGAGGAATGTTGGAAGTACTAAATGACAGTAGGTTTTCAGATGCCTTCAAAAGTTTGGAAATCAAAAAAAGTGGAATGATATCTATGAGCAGCGATAAGCCTGTTGCTAATTCTCTCACAGGTAATCATTGATATATGAATAAGAAGTATTGAAATATAATAACAATATAACACAATAACTAAAACCAATAATTTATTAATGACCCTCATCTGATTTCCTTCATTTGATGACCCTCATTATCGACGGTAATGTTTCACCCAGGTGCATATGAAAGCTCTAGTTGGATGTAAAATGTATCTCCTCCCCTGATGTGTAGGGGGATGATGGTTCTTGTTCTTATAGTTCATATTTAGTGGAGAAGTTTATACCCATACTGCTACCATTCAACAGCGGAAGAGTTTGATGATACTAACGGTAAATATTGCACTAATCCAAAGAAAATATTCGAAAAATGATGCATCCTCATAGGAATCTATTTCTTCATCAGTTCGTTCCGGAGTTATATCACTTTCCTTGAAAATATACTGAATTGGAAAGTCAGCAAAGAAACTTTTTGGAAAAAATAATATAATAACTCCTATAAGATAGAAGGTCAAATCTAAAAATACACTTCTTAACTCTATAGAATCAAAAATGAAAAACATATGGGAAGGGTAAATAGAGTAAATACAATAAAAATACAATGAAAACTGTTATACTGTTGTATTTAATAATAACACTTTATTGAATCCGTTGAGAGCAGCACAAAACATACTCACGATAATTAAAATTGCTAGCTAAAATTGCGGTGACTCCAGGTAGAAAATAAACGGAGGAAGTTGGTGGGACCACTGAAAAGTAGTGGAAATACTAAAAAAGTTTCTGACAAAAGAAAAAGACTAGAGAAAGAAACATTTTTAACTTTATTTTTATCAAAACAGTCTTAGACTTTGGCTTGTCAAAACATCAAATATTTTGGAGCACGATAGACTTGAGTTGGAAACCTAAGAACTTGACCTATCAGCGTGGTGTCTTTAACATCTGTTAGTAGCAGAATGCTGAACTTGCACTAGTTGCGTGACCTGCTACTTGCTGAAAGCATATTGGATTTAACCTTACTCGTCTTTCAAGCAGGGCAAGAATGCTATATTGTGTGCAGTGTGAAAAATGAACTTACGCTTGAATCCATTTTGGGAAATTATTGGTATTACTCTTTTCTCAACCCAAATATCTACAAGCAGAGTATTTATTTTCTGCGTCCAAATAAAAAAGGAAAACTGGCAATTCATCGAGACTTGTTCAAACACAGCTAAGTGTTGGCAACCCTTGGTGAAATGATGCCTTTCCAATTCTCAAAAATTATACCAACTTGACGTGATACGGCGTAAATCTTGGCAAATGATAGGAGGGAATGTCATTCAATTAAATTGGGACTGACAACCGATCACCAAGTTTTATATTAAATAAAGAAGAATTACGTCACATGATTTGATTTGCCTATTGTGTTCATGCATGACGAAAAATTTGAGTATTTTTTTAAAAATTGGACTACTTGTACCTCATATCCACGAAGCAATAGACTTGAGATAGAAGCAAAAATCTTGGTGAAGATTCGTCAAAACACAGTGGGAAAACAAAGAATGATGCGATATTTTTCATTCTATAAGCAAAAATCATTTACTCCTTATACTAACTCATCTTACGTGTGCTGGAAGGGTTTAGTAGGTATTGGATGAAGAACCTGGAAATAATTATCTACGTCGATGGTTTTTCTTGTAGTTTATTCGCGAAATTTTCAAATTTTTCATGTTATGAATTGCTTTAAATCACATACAATATCGAACGGAAGTTAGAAAATAACCTACTTTCCACCTATCCATCTAACGAGAAGCAATGGCCTTCTCTCTTCCCCAATCTAATAATATTTCATACTTCAAGAGGATAAAGATACTGAAGAGAAACTGAAAAACAATGATTGTTTATTGAAATTGTGGAGTGATAGTAAGACAGGCTTGAGTTTTTACCGATAACGAATAGACTCCAAGTGTCGTATGTTTTAACATGCAATCCCAAGCACATACGGCAATGTTGAAAAAATGTATAATTAAATCGTGCTGAATATTAACGGGGCATTATATTTAGGCGTGCGATTTCTAGCAGGGGACGGTAATTAGTGATAATCGAAAATCCCAGCATTGGAATCTAACCAACGTTCACATATCAGTTGATTGAACGAAACACTCTCGCTAACCAACCGATTACTCTCCGACCAAGAAGATATTAATATTTTCAAAGGGAAAGTTAAGACTCTTTACAATACAAAAATTTATTGTTATTCGAGATTTAAAATCACTCAGTATATTTATATTCCAATTCGGAGGTACCTATTTATTTCTTTCACCCTCCTGAAATTCAGTATTTGAAATGATAAAGCCAAAGAGAACAATATTCATTCCTGAAGAGCTATTAAGTAACGTTCAGGAAAAATGATAAAAAACTCACCCATACCCCTATACCACCACTCCCCCACATCTCTTATTTCCACCACCGTGAAACGCAGTCCCAATTGGCAAGAGAGCTGCAACTGGGGTGACGTCACAATTCACGTGACCATACTCAGAACGAAGCAGTTGTTTTAAGTTAAGATGGGTCGTACTCTAAGTCGGCTGGGACAATTAGTGCGCTGAATGTCAGTTGTCACTAAAAGCCGAGCTCGGTAGGTCGAAGGTTGGCCGGTAGAAACGAAAAACAGTGCGCGTTCGCTCGATATCCAAAGCCTACTAGAGCCGAAGTGAGAAAGTACGTGTTCTATGGATTTGAATTTTTTGCAGCACAAGTTAGTTTTTGTTTTTTTTTTCAATTTGCGGCCCGCGTTTTTTTGGGGATGTTGGAAGCTTTATCTGATTCAGTTTATCTGGAAAGGTGATATGGATTATCGCCTCTGATAACGTTAATCTTGATTAATGATAAGATTGTTTTTATCGGGATGTCCTCTATTTTGGAAAATTTGTTGTCTATGAAGTGGGTGTATTTTTTGAAACTGGTTTTATTTTCGAAAATGTGGGAATTGGCTGGTTGGTGTATTTATACCTATATTTTTTTGGTTTCAGTCCTATGTACTCCAGAGGCCCTAGTGCTTACACAACAGGGACGATGCCTTACTACAACAGTGGCTCGCCAGAATTGACCACGCAATCATCACAATTATGGACAAATTCAGGTGAGTTCTATTATAGTTTAATTTTTCCAAAAATAATTTATTGTTTTTGAAAACATGTTTATGCTGCTATAATTTCTGTAAAAAAATGTCAACGATACTTTTTTCTTAACTGAAGTCGTTGTCTCGTTACTTGAAATTTTATTGATCTATTTATAATATATTTTGCTGGAACAGTTAACATGAAGCAGCGATAACAAAAAGTTACCTACTTGTATTGAATAATTTACTGATATAGGTACTGATAATGTGTTTAAAAATAAGAATCCCAGCTCTCGTATATCTTATTCAGGTTGTGCTGATAACTTCAGGGTTTGTGAAAATTAAACAAAGGAAACACTAATTGAAATAATATATATTGATTTACTATTTTATTGCTATTAAAAATGAAACAGGGTAGCTCAAAACAAATAGCGACTGTGGGATCAGCAAAAATAAATAATTGACATAATTTATAAAGTACAAATTATGATTCTCTGTAAGAATCCCTAAACTGTCACCTCGTCAAAAAGTAAATGAAATCGTGCATTGTTATCCTTCTCTAGATAATTTTTAAAAATTGTGGGTAATTTAATTTGATTTTTGTTATTTGACAGACTGAAGTACCTACTATAGAAAGATCTTCTAATCGTTCTTGAATACCTGAAAAGGATGATTTCGAATGATGAATAACTCAGCTTTCTTCTGTGAGCTTGTCAATAATGTATCAATTGTACAAATTTTTTTATTTTTAATAAGTAATAAAACAGTATATCATAGTTCAACTAGTTTGGCTCATTTTTGAGGTAAAAGTAATAGATACACAAAACACGACATGGACTATATTCATTACTTCTCCATACTTTATTGAAACTGAAATCTATGTCAGAGAAATCTTTTCCGATGTTTGGTGAAAAATAGGTCGAGTCATACCATTAGTTTTTTTACAGAGGTCTTATGACAACTTTACATGACCCTAAGTATACTTATGTTTGACTGTTGAAGCCATCAATCTTCTCTGGTGGATTGGCTTTGTTTTGAAAAACTCTTCATCATTACTAAGAATCTCAAAATCTTTATCTTTATTATCTTTATTATGAGTTTAGATACACCAGAACCTTGCGATGATTGTCCTTCATCAATGTGCTCGAAATCTTTATAGAATAGACTTCTGCAAAAGTCACGTACATTTTGTCCTTGGAATATTTCTATTAAAAGAATGAAGAGACAATATTTTATCAGTTCTACTTTTCTGATTACTTCCTCCATAAAATAATAATGATAGTCTTTACTTCAGTAAGACCAGAAGCAAATATAATGGTACAGGATTGCTAGTTATGTAACTCTATTATAATTGTACTAGGAAATAGAAACGGGTGCGAGATAGTGATTAACGAGGTATAGCCTTTTAACGTGCGATAAATAGCAACTCAAATAACATTCCTTAGTATATCATCAACACCCGCCTTTCAATCTCGTCTTCAATAATATATTTTTTATTATCCTTTTTCTGTAATGACTTTTTATAAAAGTGCTTCACTCTGTTTTAGATTACGAGTTGTTCAATAATTTCGAGAATTGGATTTACTTCGACCTTATAGAATTTTCTTTATAGATTTCTCAGTGCAATGGAAGCAAAAATATCATGGAATTTTAATGATTGTTTGGTCCTCTGCCTCATTTTCCCAAATTATTTACGTTGTAACAACAGAAAGTGACGTTTATTTTTCGATCAAAGTCGGTTAGTTTTTATCAACCAACTGAAATTACATTTTAAAAAATGTTATCTTGTATTTTCAATAACTTTCACTACAACTAATTATGAAAAAGTAGAGTGAGTTCACAAATTGTCAAATTGTAAGTAAAATAAATGCTCTTTGATAATGATAGACATATATGAGGATTGATTGAAAACTGTCTTCTCTGTATTTCATACTGAGAAACTGAAGTAAAATTCAATTTTCAGTTTATGGTATAAGTTTGAGAATGTCCATATAGGACGAAACTGCAGTAACGTTAGTTACAAATAAAAGTGGTGAAAAACATAGAAATTTTCATTTCTCTTTTCATTATGAAAAAAAAACTCACAAGAATCTCAGTAGAAACATTCTACTGGCCTGAGGCGCAGGCATTTTCTTGGGAATAAATTGAAACTACGACTTTATGGAGAGTCTTAAAAGCTATGACTGAAATGTCTTAATAAGATGATTATGATATGACTATAATAGAGAATTATATTTTATGTTAATTTTTTTCACAATACTCATTACCTGTTCGAACATACTTCGAATATCAAATGCATACAGACTTCTTCATGAGAATACATTTGCGTTTATCGAGTTTGAAACAAATGTAATCCCTTCTATTGACACTTGCATTTTTTCAGAAGAGAAAAATTTCATCTATGAAAATAAATATATATCAACTTGTAATATGTTTGTAAAAAACAATACCAATTTTGCGATTTTACCAGATCACGTGGTATGTGACAAGTTGAATTTTTTATTAGAATGTTTCAGTTCTCACCCATTTTTGGTACTTATCTTTTTACGAACCCAATTCTGAAGTCCAGAGCAGAATATAGTTTATGATATTATAGGATAGTAGCACGAAAATCCGGAACAGTAAAAATGTACCCTATAAAATTGAGTAAAAAAAAATGTTTGTAAGCTAACGAAAATAATTCACTTCGTACAAAACAACTATTTGAGTAACAGCTCACCAAATCATCGATTTTTCGAATTATATAAACTAATATGAAAATCGATTTCGAAATTCATAATATACACATGTGATGTGAAATTACAATGGTGATTGTAACGAAGACCAGTTCATCATAAATTATTTAGAAAATGAACCTTGTATTTTGATGAATACTAATGAACCAGCAGAATGAGAATAAAAGTGTTACTGCATATGGTGATTTTTTTTAGAAATAATTCAAAATCCTGTGATATGTAATGCGATTTTGTAGATCTACTTGTGCATTATTTATCTCGTTATTAATGGGATTCCACTAAATATAAAAATCCACACTATAAATTTTCATTCTACATAGTATTTTCACAGTTTCAACTGTAATTCTATAACGTAAATTCACATATCTATTTATCGTAATGTATTTTACAGATTACGTTGTCATTTCACAAGATGTTTCCAAATATTTCACTGATGTTATCATATATACAATGAAAGTTAAAGAGTTGTTTGTTGTGAACCAAAGGGACAGTTTAATCGGTCATAGCACTCAAAATGTTCTGGAAAATCTCTTGCTAACCTAAATTTAGAATGAACATTTCTCATTTCATAGAAATCCATCTTTTTTAGATCAGGACTTCTAGGAGGCCAGTCAATCCTTCCAATCTAAAGATTCTCATACAATTTTAATTATACCGGGATAAAAAATATCGTGTGCCTTGAGCGATAGTCATCTTTTGTCTGTTATAATGAACTATTGGGCCACATTTAATCCAGTTTCTTTCAGAGTCCTGTTCACTGACCAAAAGTACAATGTTCATAAAAAATGTAATGCAATTTCCTAGAGATCAACGTTGGTAACAAAAACCTGATCTATATCCACCTATAGCTCAATAAGACGTAGCAGACTATGTGAGTTTGTGTTTACATAAAGTACAAGAAGCATTTCTCTGTCGAGAATGGATTTTGCATTAAAATTTCAAATAAATGTCTGCTCAATGACAAGAGAACCACCTTCATGCGTTCGTGGAAAAATTAATGTCCAACGAACTACTAGTTGTTTATTATAAAAGGAAAATCAAAAGTTGTTTATCGTGTTCAACATCAACTATAAAATAATGAAAATAATTGATGATTGATTCCTTTGGATAAACAAATCGTATGATTCACCAATAACATTTTTGACGTGAATGGAAACCGATCGTAGATGTAGCAGTATTGAATCGTGACAAGAAAAATGCCAAACAAAGTTCATTTGAATTTAATTCAAGGTTTTTAGGCTGATCGCGCTTGACGGTTTGAGTTGTGAATTTTTATTTTTATGGATGAGATACATCTTATAAATTCGTGAAAGGTCAGCATTTTTTAATTTAAGTAGAAACTGAGTTATATTGATACCTTACACAATCTTCAGGTTGTTACGTATGCCATTATGGTTGTCTTATTCAAAGAACTGTATATACTGATATCATCAAAAAGGTTTATTGTAGACATCAAATCATCATTCTTGTCATCAAATGTTTCTGGAATATGTGATTATGACCTTAATGTTCTTTTGCCTATTAGAAATAGTACGTCTCATTCAGAAAAATTACAAACATCAAACCACCTCGCCAATAATACTAATTTATACCAATATAGATCGTTTATATGGGTATAAGATACACCTGAAGAAGCTATTGAATAGTGAAGAACGTATCGCGGTTTGGAAAAAAGTAAAAACTCTCATAGTGAAGAGAAGAATAGTGAAATATTATATTTTGTCATTTTGATGTTGATAAACATGATCTGAAGGTATCATGTTTCATTGGGATATGTTGTTTTTGTTGATTTGATGATTTATTTTTATTTGTGTGTTCAACTGAATTTATATTTCATCTACATTTTATTAATATGCTCTTATATTTTTTCGAATCATTCATTTCAGTATGAAGAAAAGGGAATTGAAACTTTCTATGTTTTTACCACTTGTATTTGTAAATAACGTTATGCAGTTTCATCCTATTTTCATTTTCAAACTTATACATTAAACTAACAATGGTTCATTACATTAGCACCCCTGTAGGTAATAATAGAGGTATTTGGGCTTATTGAGTACCTGAATTTACAATTTACACAATTAGCACAATTTGAAAACCGGCGAGTAAACTAAATCGATTTGATCATTTAACAGGTTGCACCAGCAATGTTTATGCTTGTGAATTTCTAAGGATTCTAAATAATTGAGTTTGTAAACCTTCCTTGCATAGTGCAAAATTTCCGTATCGTTTAGATTCGGGAACATGTGGTTGATTGACAAGGAATGGTTTGAAAACGTCGAATAATTTTTTCCTAGTCTGAAGGACCTTTCATGTTCAGCATACCGTTTTTAGAAATTTCGACAACATTGTCCCACATAACCACTATTACACTCATTGAACTCAAATTTATTTTGATTGTGTGTAATGGTCAGGTCTAAGAAATGTATCTGCTTCTCTATCTTTGTTTCGAATGTGAGATTATTCATGAATGTCATAAATTGGTTCAGCTGTAGTGTAGTACCTCTGAAACAGGCGAGAATATCGTCTACGTATCTATACCACAAATGAATGTTGTTTACCCAGGTCGGAATTTACTATGGTGATCTCCAAGCTGTTCATAAATATGTCTGCTAAAAGTGGACTGAGGGGTGAGCCCATTGGTAAACCTGAATCCTGTTTTTAAAAATTGTTGTTGAACTGTAGGTAGCTCTGATTTAGGCACACATTGAAAGCTGTTGAAACTTCAAAGGAAGTGATATGGTATACTTTGGCTCGATCTAATATGTCTAAAATGAGGGGCTTACATTCGTTGTACGGTATGTTGGAGAACATTCTCTTTATATCGAATGAAACTGAAATTGAATTATGTGGCGTGGTTTGGTTCCTTATGTTTTCTACTAGAGTCAGTGAATTTTTAATCTGTGAGGTGGGACGAAATTGGTAATATTTTTGAACAACTTGTTAAGACGTATTCCTAGTTCTCTTACCGGACTATTTATATACGAAACTACCGTTCTTATGGGGTTATCCTCTTTATGTGTTTCTACCAGGCCTTATAGTTTAGGGCACGAGGGGTTCATGTTGGTGATTCCCCGTTTCTCTGATTCCGTTAAAATGATTTTGAATATTTTTCGTTGGGTCTTTCTTGATGACAGTAAGGTTTTTATTTTGAATGACTGATTCAATTTTCTGATTCATAGAAAGTTTCAATTTTCTTTTCTTCATTATGATTTCCTACCACGTAGTAACGGTTACATCCATCAATTTATTGATTTCAGTATCTATTTTAGATATTTCCTTTTCCATTCATCTGAACAGTTTTGACGTTTCCTAATTAGCATGTGTTTACATGCTAATTAGGAAATTAGAATTACATTTATGAAACATAATTCAGCGTGTGTTGTCCAGATAGTCGATTAAAATATTTTTTTAATCGACTATTTTTTCTGTCACACTGGTGACATCTTCAAAATATCATTTTATGAAATTCTGATGAAAGGCCAGAAGAGAAAAAAAATTTTCGTTTTCATTGAAGGAGATATGCGTTTTCAATCCAAGATTATCACGAAACTTTTTTTTGCACCCACAACTTGCGATACCAACTCTACTACAAGCGGTAAACAATTTTATTTTAGAAGCGACAAAATAATCACTATCAGAGAATCATGCGATTCAAGAACTGACCTGACATAAAAATAATTCAAAAATATAATCAAATCGGTAAAATGCATGGATACAGAGATACAAATGGTGACCCTCTAGTAATTTCGACATGAACTTTGCACAATGAGATAAAAAATGTTATTGATGTAACGTAAATTTTTGTATTCTTTTTGTCCTTTTTCACGATAAACATTAGTGCAATCCGTGATAATCGGTATTTTTATTGCGGGTACGACATTGCTTTGTTCAATTTATTTTTGAGATATGACATATCCTAAAATACTCGTAGGTACTTATGAAAACATTTTTTATACTAATATATTTGATAAGGTATTGGTTTCTATTTTCCATTGGTTTTGCTACCAGCACCACTAAACTTCGTAATGAGAATTTTCAGAATAGTTGATAGTGAATAGAAATGAAAATAGAGCGTAAAAAGTCGGGTTGTTTTCCGCAAGGATCTATTTCTGGGCATATATTTTACTAAACTGATTTTTTTTAAATCTAGAAGCTACAAATTAGTATTTTATGATCTTTCTACGATACAAAAAGAATTGTAACTACCCACATAACATAACATAACCACAACACAAGTTGATTATTCAACACAAGTTGAATAATCAACTTGTGTTGAAATATATAATGCACTATTTGAAATGGTTTTCAACAATTTTTGAATTCCTACTGAAACTAAACAGATATTCACTGATATTCAACACACAAATAAATGAATCGTTGGTCAGGCCCTTTAGGGTCATGATTAACGGAATATATAAACAAAATTCATTATCTAAAAAAAGTAAACTCTCACGATGAAAGGCTTCACGTCAATGATTTCCTTTGAAGATTCTCAAAACATTGACCTTGAACAAACATAGCATAGTAGTTGATTGCCCATTTACAGAATCCGGCTATTGAAACACAAAGAAAACATATTTTTCCCAGAATTTTTTTTCTGAGGACAAAATACAAACACTGTAGGCGCCTAAGAGCGTTGCCTGTGCGAGAGTAGCGATTCACGTTGGTTTTGAATCGTTGGAGATCACATTCATTTGGAAAAACGTTCTAAGAAAGTTCATTCCACATAAACGCAGTTCTCCAAATGGAAGAATTCTCGAACAGTGAAGTCCGAGGTTTACTGAGTTGAACTTCAAAACAATGAGCAGTCACAGTCCGTTGCGTATTTCTGATATGTACCGCTCTTGGTGGAATCAAATGTGACAAGTCATTTGAATACCTCCCGTGAAAGTAACTATAATATGGAGACAAATCACCAACGTTTCTTAGAAGTTCCAGTTTAACAAGGCTGCAAGTTATGTTCGTGTCTCCAATCAGGCGGATGGCTCTTTTCTGGATCGAATCCAGTAGCTTCAGAGTATGCTTAGTGGAGGACCTCCATACATGGTAACAATACTCCAAAGAAGGTCTGGTCTGAGCTTTATAGAGCATCAAAAGTTTCTGGAGTGTGTACAGTTTTCTGGTTCTGAACAGTGTCCCAAGCTTTTGAGAAGCAGCCTTTGCAATTTCAGCGACATGATTGTGCCAAGACATATTGGTGTCCATTTCAACCCTCAACAACCTTATCGATGCAGAAAGCGGAATTATCTGTCCTGACACTATTATATCCGGTTCGGAGACATTTATCTTTTTGGAGAAAACCGATACCTAGGTTTTCGTGGCATTGAATTGAACCTGATTACTTTCACCTTAATTCAAAATCAACTCTAGATCCTCATTAAGATATGAAACCTCCTGCTACTGGTGAAGATGTTGATCCTCAGCCGATGTCTTGGAATCCAAATGAAATGACGAGAAAGTGTGCTGTCATCAGCAAAGCAATATTTTGGATTCTTGGTTTCTCCAATAAGTCGTTGTTATAACGTAAAAAGAGAGTAGTAGACATTATGGATCCCTGGGGAACAACTCTATTGTTTTCCATGGAACGTTGCAGGAAACGTTTTTTCAGGAAGCTGGAGAGCCATACAAAAATGATCCGACAAGCCATAGCTTCGAAGTTTGGCTAGCCAACCCTCATGCCACACATTGTCAAAGGCCTAAGAAATATTAAGCACAACAGCTCCAGACTGTCCATGTTTTTCGATTGTGCTATTTGAAATATGGGTGACATACAAAAAAAGGTCGCCTGTTGATCTTTGTTTCCGAAAATCATTGAGATGATTGCTCAAGCTCAAGATTGTCATGTCACTTGAATTGCAAAGGCTGCTTCTCAAAAGCTTGGAACATTCTTCCGAACCAGAAAACTGTACACACTTTTGATGCTTTATAAAGCTGAGATCAGACCTTCTTTGGAGTATTGCTCTCATGTATGGGGCTCCGCCCCCAAATATACTCTGAAGCTGCTGGGTTCCATCCAGAAAAAAGCCATCCGCATGATTGGAGACGAGAAAATTTCTTGCATCCTTGATAGTCTGGAACATGGAAGAAAGGTTGGAGATTTATCTGTTTTTTATAGATACGGCAAGTATTCAAGTGACTTGTCGCATTTGATTCCACCAAGAGCGGTACATATCATCGTTTTGAGGTTCAACTAAGTACACCTCGAACTTCACTGTTTAAGAACTCTTTCATTTGGAAAACGGCGTTGATGTGAAATAAACTTCCCGAGAACGTTTTTCCAAATGAAAACTTCTGGGATACCTTCAGATGAATTGCCTCATCAACTAAAATATCAATACCAATTTTTTTTTCTTCAGGTGTGAATTCTTCCGGCAATTTGACCATTGGAGAAGACTACACCAAAGTAACCACATCGTCGGCAGGAAGTACATTACCAGGTTTCAACAGGTTACCGTCTACGTTCCACACTAGCAACCACAACCCTAGAAGTAGTACCCCATACACTCTACCAAGCTCCTCCCTATATGGAGAATGGACGGCTTACGATCAGTACGGTCTCAACTCAGCGGCCCAAAGAAGTAGGCCTATTTCGGCCGCTGCGTGTATTTCGGCAAGTAAGTGCTAAAGAGAATGTTAATTTGTTGGAAATGTGATTTAACTTGGATCGGCATTATTGACAAACGTGAAGTAACCGTACACAAAGTCCCAACATGAAAGGACATTTACGAAACGTAAGATTTTCGAAAAAGTAGGAAACATTTTTGAAGGGGACAATTAAAGTTTGAAACTACAACATCATAAGCATTTGTCGGAACCAAACGATATTCTTTGTTACGTGTAGCTGGGGAGCAAAGGAAGTGAAGATATTGGTACTTTTCCAGAGCCTATACCTTTGATAATTCTTGCCAAGACTTTTTCCTTCCTCTCTGGTTGCTGGAACTAAAAAATATAAGGGTAACCCTCAACCATCTGGTGTTTTCAGGTGCATGAATATTCCTCCTTCTCAAAGACACCAGGGCACTGATTGGCATTGATTTTCTTGTAAACTAGCACCCACATCAGGTTGATGGATTTTCCTCTGTCTGGAGATATCTTAGAGTGATTTTGTAGTTCAAAGAAAGAAAAATTTGTAGTTCCAAGTCAGTTGAGGCTGACAGTTTCCATTATGCTTATTTGAAATATAAAGCATAGTTTGAATGCCTATGTAGGTGCGTACCTATGTGACACGTATTTATATTTTGCTTCTCTGTTTGAGAGATGGAAGAAATGATTATAGAGTTCAGTTTATGTACTTACTTATGCCGATGTAGAGATTTTGATATTTCAGTTTTTCACGTTCTTCTTTCATGTGAAAGAATTTTCTTCATTCGTGAATTATTCACTGAGCTACGTATTTAGGTTGTTGTGGAAGTTTTAAGGACCTTTCTGGCATTCCAATTCATTCTAGATAATTTTTTGAGATAACGCGATATTTATTTCTTACAATATAGAGAAATACTCAGAAAATCATAGGAAATCGTCTTTCCACTTTCCGAATTGGTCTCCAGGAAATTCCAAGACACATTTCTCAAAAAGAACCTTAGAGTTGAACTTCTGTAGTTAAAAGCTTTCGACCTATAGGCTCCGAGTTGGCATTCACAACTAGCTGGGTATGAATCTAGAGAAGAGAATTGATTCAGTAGTTCGTGGATAGTTCACATACAACGTAACATCCGGATTTAAACAATCATGAATAATAGGTTAAGGATTATGAACTGCTCCTGAGGCAACCTCAAAGGATCAAACTGTTTATTCTGGTCTGTCTGCATCTCTGAGTAGTACTTGACATAAAAAATGTCAATTTCATTTGATGGAACTCAGTGAAATTGCCACCTTTTATTAGGTTCACCAAAACGTGCTTTCATGAGTTGTAATTAAGAACAATGTCTGAGTTAAATCACATTTTCTAATGACAGTTTTAGATCGAAAGTGTCGACAGTGTTCAGTTAGAAAGTCAAGACAAATAGTTCCTACACTTCGTTACTTGTTACACTAGTTATTACAATATTACATTGCAGAATATTGTGTGAAAATTCTTGGGTTCGATGTGTTCGTAAGTTTTGGAAAATGAGCTATCAATCCGATTTAGGGAGGGGCACGAAAATTTATTTTTGGGGTGATGAATTACAAACAAATAAGTGTTGATATTTGAGAAAATATTCATATTTAATCAAGAAATTCTTCGTTCCTTTATGAAAAACCTACACCAGTTGAATATTGTTTCGCCTCTACCATTTGTCATCAATATACAAGCAGCGTCAGAATTACAAACCAGATCACTTCACAAAAAACGAGAAAATGCCAAGCTTTCAGCAATAAAACCCAAAGCCGTCGCACAATATATCATTTCGGAAGATTGAGAAGTTTTTATGCCTCTCGAATCCCTTTTCCAAATTTGTGATGACATAAGTGAAGCTAGGCGAGACACCTCCATCAGAGAAATATCGTACTCAAAAGTAATGCATCGTTGATTCATCCTGTATGAGGTCCACACCGTATGAATTTTTTAACGCGACAAACAGTCTATTTGTAATTACTTCTCTAACTTCTGAAAAACTACGCATTTAGATTTACCACGTAGTTCAAATTAAACTATCATTATTATGAACCAGTCCAATAAAATTTGAATTACTCTACCCAGACTTCTTGCTAATTATACTATATTAGTATACGTATTTTATAAGTTGGTGTTGCCATAATTCACAATTCAAAGTATATATAGGGTACAGGTACTTTCAGAAGGGCTCATTTTAAGATACTGTTTATATAATTGAAGGTATCTACTAGGTTATGTCGCTGAACTGTGGCTTCATCAAAAAGTACAGAGTAATATGTGGAAGTCTCTTTCGGTCGGTCGGTAGCCGCTCGGTTCGACGTGGGTGCTTTGTTCACTCACTCAAATCGACCGCCGTGTTAGGAATTACACGTTAAAAAGTTAGACCTCGTTAGTCCTTAGCTCGCACAAGTTTCGACTTCTGAGAGTTGTCGTTCGTAGCTGGTTAACGGAAAAACAGATTATAAACAGATTTTTCAAACAGATATATTGAAAGTTTTAGATTTCTTCGAAAACTTCTTGCCTTCCTGATCTAGAGTAGTGCCTCTAGTTAACCAACTTAGCATCATCAAGAAATTACTAGAACATCTCCTGTTTCTTACAGTTTATTTGTAATGCAAGAAATCTAGAGAGCCACCTACTGAATCATAACATCGAAAATCAATAAGTACACGACCATGCCACACATGACCAAAAGCTTCCATTGCGTTGTTTCAAAGTTAGGTGACATGTATAAAGAGGTTGCTTGTTGATCTTTGGAACATTCCGTCTATATGAAATTGTCAGAAAAGAAAAATCTTCAAACTAGGCATAAGAGTCACTGACGTTAATATTTATTTTGCTTAAAAATTGAAGAGGTTACCGTCGATGCTTTAAAAAAACTGTGCGTCTCGGGAGGCCCGAAAGAAGGAATAACTTGGGCTAATCTAAGTTGAACTATTTAGTAATGAAATTGTTCAAATTCTACAGACTATTTACCGATATTTCTACGTCTTCATTCACGTTGCACGTTGACAGTAGAGCTTTCTTTGCAAAAGGCGATATTGCACATATGTTTTTTTTATATTTACAATGTTAAATGAATAATCAAAATTAAAAAAGCATTTTCAAGTACAAGCTTTTATTTAGAAGAACTAAAAGAGAGAAAATGAAATTTGAAATAAATCAAACCGATCAATATGTTTCTACAGACAATTTATATATTATGAAATCTTGTCGCAAGATTTACCTAGTCGATGAAAAAATCATTTTCAAATATTAGTCCAGATCTAGTTACATTGCATTCTTGTTTCTATATAGATTGTTTCTATATAGATACTCTGACCAAATATCAATAGTTAATTCAGAAAGGACTATTTTACTTTCATTTGAAACAAGTTCATAACTTTTGGGAAGGAAAGTTTTTGGCTTTCTACTACTCCTAAAAATATATCCCCTTCATTTCAAATAAGATTCCTCTTGGCTAGGATTAAATCAAATAGGTGAATGAATGTCATTACGATGTCATCGATGACATAAGCAGATCAAGCTTATTCCGTGACATTAAAAATCGTAATTCATTGATGAATTGTATGTATTTTCTATAATGTTATCCAATTTGGTACTGAAGAGCCTTAGGGCAAGTGTCTTGAGGCGAAACATCGATGTATACCAGTGAGGATGACAGTGTTCCATGTATGTGCAATTTGTTAACATTCATTCAAAGTAGAACTCATGTGAATGATATCTGATTTTTAATCCACAACGAATGTTTGAAATACAAACTGAGTAGAGAAAAGTATCTTCTGTATAATTCAGTGTTCATATAGAAGTATTTGTTTCGAAAGAATTTTTTCTTTCGTGTAATTCAATGTTTATATGAAAGTAGCTGTTTCAGGAGGACTTTCTTTTAGTTTGTGTCTGAAAGTTACTTCTTAGCATGATCTACACATCCATGTATAGAGTTACTCATTTTCAAATCGATTACTTCCTTCCTTTCTTTGGAAGATTCCCTCATCCTTTTTTTTGTATCAAGATGGAGTAGTGCCAAAAACTTTCTTTCCCAAAAATCAATCACTCCTAAAAATATAACCCCTTCAATTCAAGTTCATAGCCTATCAGTATTTCTATCGACCCCAAGAGAAAATTTCGGACCCGTTTCCAGGCCAGTTGATTTTTTCACTCAATCCCCAGTGATTTCTCGACTCGACACTCATTCTCAATAAGTTTCAGATGTGGCCACTTAGAGGCTTAACAAGTTGAAAGGAATGTTCCATAATTTGTAAGTGTAAGGGACAAAAAAACCACACACGCCTAACTTGTAAAAGATACCGAATAAATCCCCACGGAGTTTACGCCCCTTATCTGTTTTCTATCTGTTCGCACACACACAAATTGCCACACATACTGACCGTGTAGGTAGTGTGTCAAAAGAAGACCAGACCGAAAAATGCTCGGGTACACTTGAAGTCATAAGTAGTGCTAGGGCGAGCAAAATTACCGGGTGATTTTTTAAGAGGTATAGGATTCGATTTTCAAAACAACACAAAAAATTTGAAAAAATTGATGAAATCGTTATTGGAATCGATAGAACGATCACTATAATTTAATGTTTGAAGATGATTTCATGCAAATGTTGTCCGCGGCTCCGCTTTAGATGACCCATGCGCAAGGTCCAATTTTGGCACACTCTCTCTAACATATCAACCGGTATTTTACGTATAAATGCTTCAATATTGGCTCCCAGAGCGTCAGTCGTTGCTGGTTTATCCCTGTAGACACGAGCCTTAACATGGCCCCACAAGAAATAATCCAAAGGCGTTAAATCACACGATCTAGGCGGCCAATTGATGGGCCCCAAACGTGAGATAAACTGTTCACCGACGGCGGCTCTTAATTGCGCCATTGTTTCGCGTGCCGTGTGGCATGTGGCACCGTCTTGTTGAAATCACATGTCAGGCAATTTTGCTTGTTAACGTATCCATGCAACCAGAAATGAGCCTCGTCGCTGAACATAATTTTTCGATAAAAATGTGGATCTTC